GATGTGCAAGTTATGAGCAATTTGACAGACCCCGGAATTGCGGGTAGTGTTTTGAAATAATTTCGTCTTCCTCAAATTTTACTTATTTCTACCAAGACATGCGTAGCACTATCAATACATAGTACAACTTTACGAGGTTTTTATCAAGTTTGTAGAGAGATAAATGATTTTGAGATTACGGGCGTAATTCTGGGGAGGGGTCTGAGAGGGGATGCGTCATATCTCACTACTCTAAGTATCTTTCTTCTTCCTTCTCTATCTTGCTTGTGAAGGCTCTCATACCCTAATACCTGCGCATAATTGATGCCAGGTTGCTGGCATAATTGATCAGATTTTCACTATTCTGTGTGATCCTCTGGGGATCCCTGGGGATCACACAGGATCCCCAGGGGATCACCTCTCAATTTCAATGCCATTTATTTTTCTGAAAACTCAATGAAAACGCTGTAAATGTACTGCGGATATACTACGGCACTGCTAAGCATGTTTTCGACAGGGGAAATGGAATCTGAGATTGTGAATTTTTCGATGATCCCTAGCTCGCGAGCTAGGATTACCGAAGATTTCGAGATCCTGAGACTTCACTTATTTCTACTAAACATCTTTAGCTGTGCCGTAGTAATAGGTTGGCACCAGTGGCGTACCGAGGGGGGGGGGGGGGCGGGGGGGGGGGAGGCGCGCGCCCCCCCTCCCGAGAACGGGTCGCGAAATTTTTGAAAGTTACTTACATGCGTTATAAAAATGTGCAAATGACTTGTTTATTTTTGTAAACAATTAAAATAATTTTTAAAATTTTTTAAAAATTCAAATTAGCCTTATAAAAAATTTTTTTTTCGGGGGCGTGGCTGACGCCACGCCCCCTTTTTCCAGATTTTAGGGGTTGGAGGCCCGCAGAATTGTTGAGAAGCCCCCCTAAAATTTTTTCGGAGTGTGTGGCTAACGCCACGCACCTTCATTTAAAAATTTTTTTTTTGCCGCCCCCCCCCCCCCGAGCCGAAATCCTGGGTACGCCACTGGTTGGCACATAAGTTTTGCAACCTTGCCCATAACTTCGTTCTCTATGAATAAGACACATCCAAATTTTGGCATTATGTAGACTCGGAAGTGCGCTATAAATCTTCGCAAACCTTTTGATTTTTCGTGGCAAAATGGAAAAAATCTGCGTATTCTCCTAAAAGCAGTCAAAATTGAGATTTTGTGGTTTTTTCAACAAAAATGAAGACCTACAGAAAGTAAGTTAACCAAATTCAGCTGAAACTGTAGGCAAAATGTTCTCAGAGGGCGGCTACTGAACCCAGTGAAAAAAGAATCGTGATTCATTGATAAATCGAAATCTGGCGATTTCATAAAATCGAACAAATCGAATGCGTCAAAGTAGCTTGGATAATTCATCAATGCCAAAGATTCAGAATTGTTGGATTTTGGCGAAACTTTGCACAATGGGGTAACTTGACATGCTGAATACGAATATCATATTCAATTGTTGTCAGAGTCAAAAATCAGCCTAATGATTTTTTGTGATTCAACTTTTTCGTAGCAAAATAATTTTTTCAAGCAAAATGAATATCATTTTCGTAATCAGGATGTCGAATAACCCCCTTAGACCAAGTTTCAACCTAATCCGTTTCAATTCCTTTTTCTTTCCCATTCAAAAATTGCCTTAGCGTAACTCTCGAACGTGATGTTGGAATACGGCAGGAATGGCTGCTTTCGCTGTTCACACAATACTCATTATAATACTTGAAAATAGAAGCGCCACATCGCAAAACACACGAGTTATAAGAAAAAGTTGCAAAACTTATGTGCCAACCTAATATATCCACGGTACAATTTTACACCATCTCCATGGAGTTTTCAGAAGGATAAATGGCATTAAAATTGAGAGGTGATCCCCTGTGGATCCCCAGGGGATCACACAAAGTAGTGAAAATCTAAACAACTATGCCAGTAACCTGGCATTATTATGCGCAGGTATTAGGGAGAACATTGTGCAGGAAACAAGTTACTGCAGAATAAGATGCAACACTAAGAATTAGATGTAAAAATGCAAAGTCATTACAACAAAACTTTTTTGATCTATCACCCTCGCCTGTCGAGCATAGTTCGTTACTTGCATATTTACCAGACAACGATAGAAATCACGAAAGCGAACCGGTATGAAAACGATTTATAGAATTTTTCCTACATGTATAAATAGGAGTGATACAACTGTCTGCCCACTATACAACCTTTATCTTGCACAGTCAACACCTTGCGCGTATAAGATCTTTTCTGTGACCGACGACGTCATTTGCTCTTAGTCCTTGGCTGCAAATGCAATGAAAGCAGGAGCTGCTTCATTGTTCCATTCCTGAACTGAGGAAGATGCATGCGCAAATGCAGACTATGTAGCACGTCTCTAAGGTTGCTTTAGCTTTGCATTGTAGCCTAACAATAGCGTTGATTCTTTGGCAAATCTTTCCTTCAAATAGCCTCTTATCAAGAAGCAACTCCTTTACATTTACAACTATTTGTGCTGCTCACGCCCACTCTCTGACCCTTGGCAATAAATTTCCACTTTTCTTCTTTTCCATCTCTCTCATTAGACGGAAGATCAATTCGATGTCGGTCCTACTTACGTTCGTTTGATTTTGAGTAACTCAGAATTAGAGAATAAAGAGATGGTATTGAAAAACGCTACAGTTCTAGGCAAATCAATTATTGAGGAAAGAACTTCTGTAATTGTTCATCTTGAACCTCATTCTCAATTGGATTAGTGAGATGAAACCAGCGGTGTGAATAAACCGCAAAAATTCGCAGGACTTGTTATATCAGATAGAAAAGTTTGCGCCGTGATAGTTAGTTGATGTGCACTGAAAAAAGAAGAAAGTTTTCGGAAAAACAGTCGACTTTGAGGCTTGGATTTCGAAAGTTCGCACTATGGTTCAGTTTTTTCAAAATAATTGCAAGTGCCTTATTTCTGCTCTATTAGATAATGCTTTTGCGGTCTGTGGCCGGCAGCTCTAGTTTTTGTTTATACCCTACAGTTCTAAGAGGAGAATTCAGCGTTCCAGTAACACAAAAGTCTTGGAAATTACATTTACATGTTGTTGAAAATAGAATGAATTAACTCACTGTTTTTGCAGTTACACAGAGGATGCAGAAATTGCAGCTGTTGGTGCTACTGACTCTTGTTCTAATCATTTTGCGCTAAAAGAGGTGAGTATCGGATAGAGAGATAATTCAACGCAGAAATTAACGCTTGGCAATTCGCAAGATCTTTCGTTTTGAGTGCTCGCTTTTATGAGTCTTTGCCAGTTGTTGGAAAACCCTAATTCGACTTGCGATGATGCACAATTGGCGTGAGGCTGCTTTGATCAAAGAGATGATTAACTAAGGTGCGTCTTCGCATACATCTGAGGGGGACAATTACGCAAAAAAAACAGTTGCGCAGCTTGTGAGTTCGATGTACAAAAATGTATTTGATGCTTGCTTTGGGGTACTCATTTTTCAGTCTTTCAAATTTAGCACATAAATTTGTACAATTTGCTGCCATTTAAAGTTGTGTGCAATTCGTTTTTTCTCATTCTTGCAAGTTGCTATAGTAAAATAATTAGGTTATGGTAATTACGGTAATCAAGTGGCATGCTGGATGCTTCCACAGCCTTCTGTCAATTTCGTATACCTGAAGTATTGAAAATTAGCATTCTATAGCATGAACAGTGTTTGGTGATTATTGGCGTAAGAATACAGAGAAGGTATTTTCAAATGTGGTTCCCATGAATAATATGGGTATGTGATTAGCAATTTGCCACACCTTTACCTTTGACCTTACCTGTCTTCGTAGACTCTATTCATACCAAGCAACATATTAGGTCGTTTCATAAGTTTGTAGCGTATTTATAAACCAACAGAATCATCAATTTACGGTCAAAAACAGCCAACATATGTTTTTCGATGTAGCGCACGCGCAGCCTTTTCGCACTTCAACGTCAAACGGCAGCGCGCTGGGTCCCAAGGAAGTCATCTAAGCAGCTAAGTCCAAATTATCCACTGAAATCAAGACATACACCATTCACGAGTTTTGCGAGAGAGCGGAACAAATGATATTTTAATAGAGCTAGATTTGGAGGGTACGTTGGGTGCCAAAGTACCTTCAAATCTTGCAGAACGTTTTGACAACGTTTGTCGTATGAGGTCATTTTTACTAATGCAGAAAAACTCACTGGATCTGTCTGGGCTTTTTCTGCGGTAAGACCTGGTTTAAAGGTACAGTTGGATTACTTACGGTATAACTAACCGTCGCCTACTTCTCCAGCAATTTTCAGTGCATCATGTCCTGCCCGTCCCCCGATAAGTATTGTTCAGGGAAACATTGTTCAGCCCCTAATCTTCTGTAGCAATCCAATCCTTTTCGGTTCCATATAGCGCCATGCTCCATAATCGAAAAAAATCTGTGCAAAAACGTTCCTAATTGTAAGAAAAAAAGCGAAATGTCGAAATTGCTCCTTTTTGCCTTTCAAGATTTGCATCTTTGAAAGCTATGAGATCAGAGTGAATCAGTTTTTCCCTGGAATTAGTGGACATATTTCAGAGAGTAGAACTTTCATAATTGCCCTTCCCAATGATATACACAACATGCCGCAAATCAACCGCTCCTCAACGAAATGGGGACAAAAAACGCTACGAAGTTATCGAAGACCTAATAAAATACAGTTTGTAAATTTATGAGTCTTCTTGTTTTAGGTCGACATGGTTTACAGGACATACCCGGAGTCAGCGAAGAGAACATGACAAAACTTCGCGAAATATTCAAGGTAGGCTAATGCGAATACATAATGTAGCGACTTATAATCTAGATCCAAAAATGCTATACCTACGTAAAACTCAATAACGTGTACATCAGAGTGGAAGAGAAGATTTCAAACAGAAAATGGATGATTGGCTGAACAGTCTGCCCGAAGAAGAGAAAGTACGCCAATAACAGTGTAACTATAATTAATCATGGTGTGCTGTTTTAGAAAGTTGCAGAAGCCCATAGGGAGGAAATTCGTAAAAGACACGAAGCTCGTCGTGCTCAAAAAGCTGGGGGTGACGCCGAAGCTGAAAGTGATGACTGAATATGCTGCATTATCATTGAAAGTGCTCGCAAACACTTCTATTTCCTACATAAATAAAGTTGTTTTGTATGATAGTGAAAGTAGCATTGATGATTCACCCGTGCCAATCTCTTCTCCATACATGCTATGTTTCTATAATAAAATCGTTTACAATTCGGAACTCTGCATTTGCGAGGGCAGAGTTTAATCTTGCGTGCAGTCGTAAAAGCGCGTTTCAGAGATTATCAAAGGGGACGCTGGATGGGGACACACGCCAAAAAGAAAAAATACTAGTACATTACCTTAACGTTGGAAGAAGGGAAGCCACCTCGAAAGCTATTTGTATAAACCAGTTGCTGGTGGATTCCCCACGGAGAAGCGGATTTTTTTCAGCTTTGAGCTACCCGGCTAAGAGTCGACACAGAGTTGTATTTGGCATGCTGCTGAGCATGATGCTTACATAAGATTCCAGAATTATTGATTATTTATCGTTTAGCTTTGTCGATTTCATCGATTTCTTTGCAACTTCGAGCTACGCGGCTGGGAATTAGTGAAAGGAGTGAGCTGATTACGAAAACATTATTATTTTTGAGATGATTTACGGTTACAATCGATTTTATCGATTTCATGTACATTCGAGCTATGGGGATGCGAGTCAGCACAGGAGGTGAGCGAGCTCGCTAGTAACGGACATGATAATGATTTATGGAATTATCGGTCACCTTTGTCGATTTTACGATTGCCAGCAGCTACGGAGCTGGGAGATGGTACGGGGAAGCGAAAAAATCACTTGAAGGCATGTGCCCCAAAAAACCTACTTCTGACACGAAGAAAAAGACCGATTAGCGACCTTGGCCTCACAAGTGGAGAAAGCTCAGCGGCTTCGAGCTGAAAGATACTTTTGCAAGAAATACAGATTTAATGTGGCAAAAAGTCAGTCTTTGGGAGCATGTACTCTGGAAATACCTTACTTCTGCCCAAAAATAAAGCGTAATGAGCAAGTCTTAATCTCGCCAAAAGCAAACTCTTTTAGCGGTATTTTGGCAAGGAATAATATGCGTTTCAAAGAAAGCATTAGTCGGGCGGAAGTTCATTTTTAGGAACATGTATTTTGGAAGGACCCTTTCTTTTATTTCTAAAAAGAAAAGCAAGCGAAGTTTGGTTTCTTCGGAAAAAAGCTATCAGGGAGCTTTTGCTAGAAAGAAGTCTTTGCAACGAGTACCTTCACTTCATAGGAATTCACCTTCGGGAGCATGCGTTTGAAAAACATACTTTGCCCATAATGCTCTTTTCAAGGGAAAAAAATCTTTGCTTCTTGTAAGACTTTCCCTTATCCTTTCAAAAAATCACTCTAAAAACGTTCTTGCAAAAATGTTTGTGTTTCGAGAAAGATTAGTGCGCAACTCGGTAAAATCCCATTTTTGGCAGCATGTACTTTGGATAATTTTACTTTTGCGCCTAGAAACTCAAGCAGTAGGCGAGTCGCTGGAAGCATTATCAAATATGTATAAGGCACTGATTGTGAGATTGTTCGCGTTATTGTTCCTATGAATGAAACCAACGTGAACCATGGTCTAGTGGAAGAAAAATCCGAAATTTTCTTTATGGCAAAGGGCCCAATCGTTGAGATACATTTTTCCTAATTAGTGCTGCTATATCAAAGGCGATATCTTGCTGGAGTTTTGATGGAGAACCAACAACGGCTTGGGAGTAGTCACTCGTCCGTAATATATTTTATTTCACGCTTTAATCCAAAATAACTGCTGCGAATGTAGACTATCTAAACTTTCGCACTCGTATAACGGTTGAATAAAGCAAGAAAGCACTAACCAATGCTATATTTTGGACTGCAACCAACTACTTACTATGAAAGAAAGTATTTGAAGCAAAAGCTTGGCTTTCCTTTTAAATTATAGTGGTTTCCATTGCGTGATTGGATCTGAAATTCAAAGTCTTTGTGTATTTTATAAAGTGAATCGTTTGAAAATCATTGTAATAAATGGTTAATCACACTTATCACACCACTTACAAAAACCTCGAAAACAAAAATATAATAAAAGCCTTGCTAAAAATGACTGACTTTAATTAGTTCAATGTTTTTGTCCAGCAATCACAGAAACAATGACATATCAAAAACATCAAAGTGCAGAAAACAAATTATTGGAAAACATTAAGGAAGTAGATGTGACATGCAGTTCCGTTCCAGGAAGGCTAATGTCACATTCTTCTTTATCAGTTCTTTAGTTGAGCACCATCCATTACTTCTCGTTTTACAGAATAGGAAAAGACAACATATGTCAAAAACAAAGCGGAATCAAGGGGTCTTGCTACAAGTATATATGGAGCTCGAATGTATCTGTTATATCAGTTCGGAACTGTCACTTCTTGTTTTCCTAGTCGAATTTGGTTTCATGCATATCGTAAAAAGTTTTGAGGTTTCAATGATCTTTCTTCATACGATAAGCTGCTGCCTGTAACTTACAAGGGAACCGCATAACACTTAGTAGATCCTGAATCTGACAAACTAATGTAGACACTTTTTACGCTATGTAGACTTGTAGACCGGTGGCGTAACGAACTTACATGAGTTATAAAATTGTGCAAGTGACGTTGATTACAGGTTATCGCCGCAATGCTGAAGTTGCAACTGTCAGTTCTCTTAGTCTTTGCTGTTGCCATTTGCGCTCAGATAGGTGAGTTATTTCAATAAACCAACATGCATCAAGTATTCAGAAAAAACCTTTGTGAAAGTGCCCATCTATAAATCTCGATCAGAATTTTGTTATGTCTAGCTGTGCTGAAACTTGGACTTCCAACAAGGTTTTCTGCTTGAGAAAACCGCATTAAGTCTTTAGGTGCCCCATTACTTTTGAATCGCCTTAATATTGAGCTGCTGCATAAATTCTGTCCGATTTTTTTGTCTTGTGTTTGAAGCAGCCGTACTAGGAGGTTTTCACTCCTGATGCGATCTTATACCTTTAGAAAGCGCTTTTCTTGCTCATTCCAATATATCATATTTTAATAGAATCTTCAGTCTGACGAGATAGTAGGCCTATTATCCCCAGATGGTCGAAGCACGTTCTCTGTTAAGAAAATGTTCTCGCAAGAAAATCTCCACAATATGCTCTCCGAGACCTTGTGGTCACGGAATACTCAGACAATCACAGGCTCTCAGCCAGCGGCCACAAAGCCACCGCGAAAACCCACCAAAAGCGCTGTGGCCTCATCGCGGCCACTTTCGCTTCCCGCTGAAGCCCTCATAGCAGTCCGCCCGGTGCCAGCTTTAGCCTCCCGCTCATTGCCATATTTGTAGCCCGCTCGCTTCTACAGTTCTCAGCGGGAAGCGGCAGTGAGGCGATAAGGCCACGGCGCTTTTGGTGGGTTTTCGCGGTGGCTTTGTGGCTGCCGGCTGAAAATCTTGTCTGTGTAGCTTCTTGCTATGCTTGGACTACAACGTTGTAACTTCAATTAATTCATTATAACGATGACAAGTAACAATGAAGAACATAACCATCTGGAGATATGACCACATGGAGAAATAGATATGGCCCCAGATGGTTATGTTCTTCATTGTTACTTGCCATCGTTATAATGAATTAATTGAAGTTACAACGTTGTAGTCCAAGCATAACAAGAAGCTACACAGACAAGATTTTCAGCCGGCAGCCACAAAGCACCGCGAAAACCCACCAAAAGCTCCGTGCCTTATCGCCTCACTGCCGCTTCCCGCCTTCTTTAAAGATAGGATGTGTCGGTAGCCCAAAAGCTTAAAGGTTAGCTTATTGTATACTACGACTATGTACGGCCACGTTTGTAAACTCGTAAACTCTGGATAAAGGTTATAACTAATGAAATGGCAAGTAACAGTTAAGTGGATGAGTACGCAAGTACGCAGTGATACACACGCATAGATTTACGTTCTTTAGAACAGAAAATATGCTGATAATAGACCTTGAGGGTACAAACATTGATAAAACGATCCATATGGGGAGCGGCGACAAAATACACATTCCACCGCGATAAATATATTCACAAACATGAGTGAGGAACTGCCAGTGTTAGCGCGCAATGCAGGGGTTTCTCATGCGAATCAACAATCCATTCGCGCCTGAGTATCGTTCAGGCAACTGTCAATTCTGATCCAAACCCATTTTCCTTATGTTGTGCAACACTTCCTCTGGAATTGTGTGCGTCTTCGTCGGTGAGTGCAACGTCTAAGAGAAGCTGTAATTGACTACGATTACAAACATCATGAAATGCCTGCAAAAGAGAGAGTAGTTGGAAATATATAGATATACATCAAAGACAGACATTAGACAGAGAGAAACGCAAGACAAATATGGTACAGCAATTAGTGGAAGTATGAAAAGCCCTAATTTCATTTCTAGGAGGTAGGGAAACTTTATCAAGCCTTGACGATAAAAAGAGACAGAAACTAGTTCCACATCACAGCTGTAAATGACTATCGTCGATTCGTTGACTGCACGGACTGGACATAACCGCGGAGCACGCGCCGCGAGGTAAAACACTTGCTCCAATACAAGATCGCCATTGTTCGTGCTCTCGCAACATGTTAACCGCGCCGCATGTGGTCCGCAGCGCTTCAGCAGTCCGTACGGTCAAGGAATCGACGATAGCTCCGTTGACGAACGACTGCGTGCCAAACAACTTTCCGTAAAACTGTAAACCTTTTAAGTGCTCACTGTACAAGTACAGTCGATTCATTTCATATGATCATGTGTGCACCCGCACACACCGTCCATCTTTGGCGTCCCTATCTCGGATTTGCGATCGCAAAAACGCGAGAGAGTGAGCAATTGCTATCGCTTACATCATTTAGAGATAAATAGTACTTAGAAAGAAAAGAAAACAGCGAGAAAACATCAGAATCGCTTAACGGAAGGGTTGCGCCCTCCAAGAATCCAGGATGGGTACGCCAAAGATGGACGGTGTGTGCAATGGCACACATGATCATATGAAATGAACCGACGGTACATCATTGAAAAGGTGCGCACTGTGTTTCGATGAATGCACTTGGCTTCGAAATGAGAATTTTACTTTTTGAAAAGGCCGATCGGTAGAA